AGATGCTCCCAAAGCGGAATGCGCTTTGGAAAGTAAAGCCCTGTGCCCAGAACCAGGGTTCTGCCCGGGGTTGGCGCTCAGTCTGGGGTCGGCACCGAGAAAAACAAAGCCTCTTCCCGCACGTTTTGTCGCTTTCTCTCCCCGCACTACTGCCTCCCTCCCTCCCCCCTTCCCCCAGCAGCAGGTGGGGGCGTTTTCCCCGCCGCGGCACTGCAGTGGGGTGTGCGCGCCAGCAATCCCCGCGCGCGCGGCAGCCGCTGGTCTGGGGCCTGGGGTGAGGGTAGGGAATCCAGGCCCCCCAGGCGTCCCCCTGCAGAGTCCCAGAAGCAATTTCTCTAGCCCAGGACCCTCCGCGGAGGGGACAGGAGATCTGGCATCTCCCTCTTCAATTTCCAGCCTCTCTAGAGTATCCTTCTCCTAGAGGACGGAGAAGAGGTGGCACGGGAGCTGATGGGTTGAGGGCTCCCCAGACGCGTCTGGGGATATAAACTGGGCTTTAGACTCGTACATATCTGGATACAAAAATCACTGGATGTGTGACCTTGGACGTGTACCTAACCGTCTCCGGATCTCAGTGTCCTCATCTTTAAAATGGGGTTCTTACCGCCTCGTGGGACGGTTGTGGTAATGCGTGCGAAGCACTAAACATGTTGTTGGCATAAAGTAAGCTCTCTATAAACTGATGTATTATTCTTATCGTTATCATTGCCATTACTCTTCTCAAGGAAGGTGGTTTTCCTGTCTTCCCCATCCCTTTGGACCCACCCAGCACGCCGCACATCTAGAATCTGAGTCCCACCGATGGAGCCTGGTCAGGTACTGGGCGGTGGGCTCGGGATGAGGGAAGAGGGGCTCAAGCACCCCACCCCCACCCCCAGTTCCGAAACCATACGGGCTCTGTCCCAGGCTTGGCCAGTGAGCTGCCAACCCGGTGGGCTGAGAAGGTCCGGGGTCCCCTCCGGTCTGGCTGGCACCGGGGGGGGGGGGCGGGGTGTGGAGGGTCTTTGTTCGCCCTCGGATCACGACTGAAGACCCCCACCCGCACTGGACTCCCAGCGCAGCCTCCCCTCGGTCCCCCAAGCCCCACCCAGGCCCAAGTCTTGGCCGCACCCGACAAGTGCGGGCGGCAGAAGCTCTCCATCCAGCAAATGAGGGGCACTCCGGGCAGCCTTTGCCATCCCCTGAACACACTGCATGGGACCCCGGGACCCACCCCCGACCCCGACCTCGGGGAACCGAGGCTGTTCGCGGCGCAAGGACCAGGACGCTTAGGGAGGGAGGGCTGTGAGCACGGGGCGGCGGCTTACCTCGGGTCCGCCGTTCTGCGGCGCGAGTGCAGAGGGCTCTTTGTGCCCGGGCTCACGGCGCAGAACTGGGGGAGCCCCTGCAAGCACCTCCCCTCGCAAACTCCTCCCCGCACTCGTCCGCAGCCTCCCTCCCTCCGGTCCCCCGAGCACAGCCGGCGTAGTCTTTGTAAGCTGCTGCAGCGCCCATGAAATTTTAATGCGGGAGCTGCTGGCGGGCGGAGGCGCCCCCCCCCCGGCCCGCTCGTCGGCCCCCCTCGCGCCTCCGCCGCCCCCCCCGGCTGCAAACCCCGCGACCACCCCTCGCCCCCTCCCCCCCGGGGGTCCGGGCCCGCGAGCGGGGCAGGGGGGAGAGCGCGCCGCCACCCCCGCGGCACAAAGGGGCGAGCCGGGCGTTCCGCATCCCCGCCCGCGGCGCTGCCATGGCAACGCTTGCGCGGCTGGACTCGGCCCGGGGCGCGCGGATGGAGAGGTGCACGCGACCGCGGGCCCGGGAACCCAAGTCCGGAGCCCCGCGTGATGGGAGGACCCAGGACCCCGGTCCTGGAGCACCAGGTGCTTCACCCGCGTGGTCTCCGAGTATGCCTCGCAGTTAATCCCGCTAGATGGGTCCGCGCTTATGGTAGAGTCAAGACTCCGACCCCTGCCCATGGCTTCATGCCCTTGTGTGTGCCCCACCACCCCTTGGCCTAACCGCTTCTATAGGTTTGGGCTTTTATTTTTTGAACAGCCCTCTGCTTAGTACCTACTTCTGCGTAGAGTAGCGATGCTAGAAAACGGTCCTAGACCCGGAGCGTCAACATCACTTGGGAACTTGGGAGAAGTGCAAATTCTCAGGTCTCACCCCAGCGCTACTGGGTGGAAAACTCGGGGGTGGGGGCCGGAGACCTGTATTTGAGCACATCCTCTAGGGGATTCTGATGCACATTCAAGCTTGGGCACCACTGTGCTAGACCGTTCCACTGGCCTCTCTAACCAGCCTGTCCTGGGGTTCAATTTCAGCTTTGTCCACGTCCCTTAGCAGATGACCTTGGACACAACGTTTCTGAGACTCGGTTTCCTAGCCCATAAAGTAGAGGTAATGATGGAATCCACCTCATAGGGTTATGTGGATTAAATGTGGAAATGCGTGGGAGAGGCGTGCTTAGCACAGTGCCCGGCACTTAACAAAGGCTCAAAACACAATTTTTATTATTATAATGCTATGACATTCATTTAATTTTTACACTTCTGTGTATGTCATTTATAATCTTCATTGCTCAGATAAGGACACTGAGACTCAGAGAAGCTCTGAGAGCTGCCCACAACCACAATAGGGGACCCCGGCGGGATCTGAACTGACCACTCCAGGTTCCAAGTTTACTGGTTGTCTTCCATATTGTCCATCTCCTCCTGGGACACCACCTCACGCCCGATTTGTTCTTCAGGAAATCCAAATCCCATTCAACAAACCCACAGCACTTCTCCAATGTGCGCAGCCCAAGGACATTGCAGGAACCCTAAAGATCCCAGGGGAGGTCCCAGATACTGCCCCCGCCCTAGCAGAGCTAGCAGTCCTGCCCGGGAGGTAGGACTCACATGAAACAGCTAGAGAAAAGGCAAGATGGGGTGTGGTCACAGCATTGCCCAGAAGACACAGCCAAAATATTGCAATTACCAGCTCTACCACTTTCCCCTGGATCACCAGACCACAAACAAAAAGGAAGACTTATTTAAAGTATTCCCAAGCCACCCTGTTTTGTAATCTGTCCTCAAATTCTCCTGAGTATCAGCCTATCATTTCCAATATCCATTTGGATAAAAAACTCAAGGCACTTGTCTGCTCCCAGATTTTCAACACTTCTCCTTTTCCCTGGGGCTTCTTAAAGATGAACAATAATGAACCCGTGGTCCTATTTCCAAGTATCTTTTGTTCTAGGGATAACCTTTCAAGGAGAGCATTGAGAGAAAGGGTTGGGGGTGAGGGGGGCAGGCAAAAGAAATGATCATGAGAAGCTAGTGGGGGCTCACTGTGAGGGGACCATGTCCAACTCAGGTGGACTCAGGGTGAGCCATAAACTGAGTACCAGAAGGAGGGGCCAGACCCCATATCCAGCAGACACCAAAACCAGCCTGAACCCACCTGGCTGTCCTCTGCCCCAGTCCTATAACACAGCACATTTCTTGATCGTGGGGAGCCCAAACTAGCTCTCCTCTTTTGGTCCACCTGTTGAGTGCCTTTGTGGTAGGCAAAACTCCTTCATTTTCCTGGGGAGGTTTAGAAACCCACAATGCCTTCCTCATCCTGCAGGCTCGGGGCACTTAGTACCGCTAGTTTGATAGCTACATGTAACACCCTTCTTGTCTCCCCATCAAAGTAACTCTGACTCTCACCTTATCCTGTGGGGAGGCCCCAGACATTGCAGAGCACACCCCAAAATGGTAAATGTCATCCTCACCCCGTCCTGCCAGGAACTCGTCTTCCAGGTGACATTTACAGAGCTAACTCGGGCCCCAAGAGCCCACAAGCAGATAAGAACACCAGATGGAACCCCAAAGAGAAGTGTCAACGTTCTCTCTTCTGCCTCTCTTGAAAATGGCCTGAGCCTCTTACGATGGAGCATTGGTTGCCACAGCAACAGGAGGAGGCGCCATCATACATCTCAGAAGATCCACTTGAGAATAAACTTTACTCTTTTAAACTGGACCAGGCAGCTCACCCATTCCCACCAGGATGTGCAAACAAGATTGTCTTTGGCTCATGACACTGCCTGCCACTCAGCCCGAGTTCCAGGGGAATTCTGTCACTGGTAACATGTCCAGAAGGGGACGGTGGGGGACGCAGTTTTCTCTTTATCCCTAAAGCAGCCCCTGGAGAAACCGGGGTGGCCCCAGAGGTCACGGTTCCAGTTGTGACTCTGTGATCGGTACATTGGGTACTGCTGAGCACTCATGTACCCTACCATGCTTGTTGGATTTTTTAGTTGAAACACACATAATATAAAACTAACCACTTTAGGCGCCTGGGTGGCTCAGTCGTTAAGCGTCTGCCTTCAGCTCAGGTCATGATCCCAGGGTCCTGGGATCGAACCCCACATCGGGCTCCCTGCTCTGCGGGAAGCCTGCTTCTCCCTCTCCCACTCCCCCTGCTTGTGTTCCTGCTCTTGATATCTCTCTGTGTGTCAAATAAATAATAAATAAAATCTTAAAAAAAAAAAACTAACCATTTTATTTTCTTGTCTTGTAAATATTTTTTTCATTTTTTTCACCATGATAAGTGTACACTTTAGTTCCCACCCCCTATTTTCCTCATCCCTGCACCCCACCCCTCTGGTAACCAGCAGTTTGTCTTCTATAGCTAAGAGTCTGTTTCTTGGCTTCCCTCTCTCTCTCTCTCTCACACACACATACACACTTTTTTCCCTTGCTTGTTTTGTTTCTTAAATTCCACTTATGAGTGAGATCATATGGTATTTGTCTTTCTCTGACTTATTTCACTTAGCATTATATACTCTAGCTCTATCCCTGTTGTTGCAAATGGCAAGATCTCATTCTTTTGGATGGCTGAATAATATTCCATTGTATTTAGATACCATATCTTCTTTATCCATTCATCAGTAGATGGACATGGGCTTTTTCCATAGTTGGGCTATTGTAAATAATGCTGGTAGTAACAAAGGAGTGCATGTATCCCCTTGAATTAGAGTTTTTGTATTTGGGGGGTAAATACCTAGTAGTGTGATTCCTGGATCATAGGGTAGTTCTAGTTTTAATTTTTTGAGGAACCTCCATGTTGTTTTCCACAGAGGCTGCCCCAGTTTGCATTCCCACCAACAGTGCACCAGTGTTCCTTTTTCTCCACATCCTGGCCAACATCTGTTGTAGCCTATGTTTCTGGTTTTAGCCATCCTGACAGGTGTGAAGTGATATATCTCATTGTGGTTTTGATTTGCACTTCCCTGATCATGAGGGGTGGTGAGCACGTTTTCATGCGTCTGTTGGCTATCTGGATGTCTTCTTTGGAGAAATGTCTGTTCATGCCTTCTGCCCATTTTAATTGGACTATTTGTTTTTTGGGTGTTGAGCTGTATCAGTTCTTTATGTATTTTGGAGACTAACCCTTTATTGGATACGTCATTTGTAAGTATCTTCTCCCACTCAGTAAGTTGCCTTTTAGTTGTATTGATTGTTTCCTTCACTGTGCAGAAGCTTACAACATTCACAGTGTGCACCCACCACCTCTGTCTAGTTCCAAAACACATTCATCACCCTAAAATATCCCCCACCCATTAAGCAGTTACTCCCCGTCATCCCCTTCCCCCAGCTGCTGGCAACCACTAATCTGCTTTCTGTCTTTATGGATTTACCTATTCTGGTAACTTTCTATAAATGGAGTCATACAGTATTTATCTTTGGGTTCCAGGCTGTTCCACCCAGCATAATGCTTTTGTTGTTTATCCATGCTGTAGTATGTGCTAGTGTATTCCATTCCTTTTCGTGGCTGAATACTATTCCATCATATGACTGTAATACAATTTGCTTACCCATTCATCTGGATTTGCGTGGTTTCCATCTTTTGGGGGCTGTGAATCGTGCCGCTGTGACCATGAGTGCACAAGGATTTGTTGGAGACTCTCGCCAATTTTTTGGGAAATACACCTCTCTGTACCTCATTCCTTTTTATACTGTCCCAAAGCATGTGGTCAGGGGGTTCTAGAGTTAGTGACAAGGTGGGCTTCTTTACCTTGTTACCTAAACTAGTCACACAGACCCCACCACCACCAGCACCAACACTGGCGTCACCTCTCTGCTTGGCCACACCTGTCACGCCTGCTGAGGAAGGTCTGTGGGAAAAGATTCAGTCTGCCCTCAAACCATGTTATTGACCAAGACTGTGTGCATCCATCACGACATTAGGGGAGCTCCTCTCTGACAGTTGTTCCCTGAGCAAGCAGCTCCCTGTCCCATCCAGATAGAAAATTCCATTTTGACTCATCAAAGCAGCCATCCCCACCCGGGGCGAGGGTGGGGCTCCCTGAATTCAGGGGGAGGCATTTCACAGCAGAGGAGAGTTGCATTTG